ATAAACACTAACGCTATATTTCTCCTTATTAGGTCAATACTTCGTATGGCTCCTTCTGCATATGCCTTAATATGCTATCGATCACCAAACTAACACATCCTTTTTGATCTAATCCCATTCCTGCTTAATAACGGCGAGAAAAATCTCTTTTGAGATTTTTTTATTTTGCACCACCATATTCTTAATATTTTTCTCTGCCTTCCTCTTTAAAATAGCCCATGCATTTTTAATAGGGTTGAGATCAGGGCTATACGAAGGCCAGGGAAGAACACGATCCCGAAGACATTCTTTTAAGTCATTCTGAATGTCATTAGAAGTGTGTTTGGGGTCATTATCCTGTTGGAAGACCCACCTACGGCCATACAATGTCATACATAAGAATTTTACGATACAAATGACGATACAAATTTTCGGTGAACAAATGTATCCCGATTTTTCCCTTAACACTGATCGCTGCCCAAATGTGGACTTTGAATGGATGCTTCACCATAGGTGCAACAGGTTTTGCATCCCGAGACCCACGCGAGAAGGATATTATGAAACATCTGAATCGTTGTTTCATCGGAAAAAACAACTTTTTTCCAGTTATATCGGGCATGATCACGTGCCCAAGACAAGCGATGGTCTTTCGCTTGTTGGGTTAAAAGAGGAATTCTCCTGGGAAGAACCGAAACAAAACTTTGTGAGCTCACAACAAATAGTACGTTTACTTACCTCTCAGCTCCGCTACTATAGTGAAATGATTATGTCTCACAATCATTCCAATACGGCAGCATTTTTGGGGAGTCAACTTCTGAGGGTGACCAGATGAGTGACCAACGGGAATTTTGCCAGTTTTACGCAATAACCTGACATACCGCTCACAGGATCGTAAGGGAATGCCCAATCGCTGGGAAATTTCCTTTGGATTTTGGACGTTTTGCTACCAGAGCGAGTTAACGGCGTTTCGTTGTGCTTCGAGAGGGGTTGGTGCCATTTTGAGACGTAAAAACAAGATGTAAACAATACTAAAAGTCATTGTTTACATCTTGTTTTTTAAAATGGCGTTCCACTTCCTAATTTGGTAATATAAACATTGGTCCGAATTGGAGAGGAGGAAACGCTATAGCAAAAAACATAAGTGGCCATTCTTTTCGTCGGGTACTGTACACCAGTCGAATCTTTATTGCAAAATTAAGGTAGTTTGTGTGTCTTAAATGAAGGTAAACTCACTAGATTGCTGTGTGTTATTTTTATTAAAATATTAAGTTTGAATCTTATTTACATGTAGCTTTAGAAACTGCTGAATATGAATAGATATCGATGATGCCACATCTAAAATTATGAGTTTATATGTTTAACGAAGCAAATTTATCAGTTGCTATGAAAATATTATTAATTGTTCTAATTTCGTTTGTGTTTCTTTAACGACGACTATAATGGCAAGTAAATTTTTAAAAACTAAATTTCAAAAGATCATAAAACGAATAATAAACGTTCTATTTGCAAACTTGTCGGAAATGTGGAAAGATCTGAATTAGTAATAATTCGATTAGATAATAGATAACATTTAATTTCATTCATATTTAATTTCATTCATATTTAACGACGACGATTCCTAACGTTTATAATAATTATTTTTAACATAAATACAATACTTTATCGATAGCTTAGAGATTTACTCCCATTAATTTATCACGTATTAATAGCATAATTCTAAAAATTAATGTTAACTATAATCATTTATAAAGTGAGCTCGGTTTTGTGATTACCTATACCTATGAAACTAATTAATTGAACTTTTATCTTTATGCTTAATGTCCGCATAATATACATGTACAATATATAGTAAAACGTATGAAAAATGAAGATTTTTAAGCTATATTTATATTTTTTAGTAATTGTTCTAAAGTTTATATCATTTCAAAATAAACAACTATATTTTTCAAAAAAATTGTTTCTTATCTGTGAAGATGCTGTTTAATCATGAAAAAATTTTATATATGTATTACTATATTTTTTAAATCTGTGGATGCTTTTTGGAGGTACTGTACATTTACATGTACTAGATACTGGGCATTTATTGCAAGTTCCAATCACTTTGTTGACCAATGAAATCGCGAGATATGAAATATTATGTCTGTTAAGATCATGGTTCAGATTATTTATGACAAATGAAGGTAAATATGGCAAAATTTGTGAGGAACACTTTTTGTTAAAGTGGTTTTTTTTTGATTTTCAGAGGATTGCCAGATTACAATAAATGAAGATACTAACCCTGGTGATGAGACTATCGCTACCGCATCTATACTCGATCTGATTGGTTAGAATTTAATACCCTCTACAAATGATAATAAATTCAAAAGTATTCTGAGACGGATACTGAGATATTAATATAAATGACATTTTGTGCGTGATCTTATTTCGAACATTCTCATTTTCCGAAAAATAAAATAATTAACAATAGGTATATCTAAATCTCTTTACATCTGTCCAAAAAGTGCGGGTCAAATGCGACTATTAAAACAAAACTTGATGTGTATTTTTTTGTCATGTATTTCGAGTAATCAAACAGGTTTTTTAAAAGTTTTTACAAATGATAAAGAATGTTAAAGATGCCCTTTATAAAATTTATTAGTGTTGAAATTTAAGACAAAAACTAGAAATATACTATAATTAAGTATATGGCTAAGTAAGGATAAAAAAAGAAAATTACATCAAATAAACTGGTTTATGAAATAAGTAATTTATTTTGATCTAATAATTCGTTTAAAACATTACTTAGAGAAGTGTCAGATATTATGCATTTATAGGGACCTTCCCCTTCCCTTCTGAGCTATGATTCCGTTTCGTATAATACATTATTACTAGTGATGAAGGGCGCAACCTCTGATTGGCTGTCGCATTTATTCTCAACACTTATTTATTTATCACCTCATTGAGAACCATCTTTATTTTGCTACTTTCTAGAATATCTGTCATCCCTCTTATTATGTTATACATGTAATAGTAAGAAGACTCCTAAGGGACCTGACATAAATCACCTGAGTGGGTTAGTTAAAAGATGCCAGGTTCATATAATATATTAATATACGTGATTATAAAGTATCAGGTGTGGATGGATGGTGCCTTATATTAAATGAAAATTACCTGATTTATGTCAAGTCCTTAAGTACATTTCTGCTTGATCTCGCACAATTGATAAATTTGAACATTTTTGAGTTACATGAAGCTCCGTTATTATATTTCAGCAAACCTGAGTACATGCATTATGAACATGAAATACTAACTTTCCGAAATTCAAATTAGAATAGTGTGATGTTTTTCTTTGAAATCACAACATTTTCAATGCTTTATTAACTTCTAAGCTCAACTTATTATTTTATTGACAATTGTAAAAGGTATTAAATGCACATATGATAAAGCATCTGAATACATGTTTTGTGTTTTGCTGCCCTAGCTTAGAAATATCATACGTGCGCATTTCTTTGTTTTTTTGTACGAATGTAATGCTTGCTTCATTTTCGAAACCAACTATTAAATAAAACGCATGCATTTGTACATTACATGTACAAATGGTTTGTGTCATTGGTCATTGGACTCATTCCAGACCTTATCCATCTCTAATACATAAAAGATATGCAATTGCAATGATCTCGATTTTGTCCGATGACGTAGTATTAATTAACGTTACCGATTGATTTTAACCCAAGAGTTGATGTGATGGCTAATATTAAAGTTAAGATTGACTCCTAGCGCTAGGCACCTTCTTATTAGTAAGACAAATAAATTCATGCATTAGTTGCATCTGATAAAATTTACGCACTCTTATTGGTCCCAGATTAATTTTTTGTGACACAAAATCAAAATAATCAAAATATGATTTTTTCTTTGTTCTTGGTATACATGATCAGAACTCTGGTAAATGACGAAGCATAATTATTGATTTCGTTGTACAAACATCTGCAGTGTAACATGCTCCCAGTTGTTAAACAGCTCGGAGAAATAAAAGTGTATCAGTAAATGCTGATATGCAATGGCCGGTTTCTTCTCTTTCTTTTACAATTTCTCTTTATGAGCAGAGTATTTTGTAATTACATGTATCAAAAATCTCATAATGTATCACTTTTTTGGTAAATAAACAACACCAACCAAAATAGCGGTATGCTTTAATATATATATATATATATATATATTGGTATTTTTAATTTATTTCTGAGCATATAATATTCTAAATAATATTTCACTACAGTAGTTTATTATAGCTATCACGTTAAATGTACAAAGAAATTTAATTTATGCAATGTAATCATCGTAAATTTTGTCGTTTAAAGTATGCATTAAAAATCTAACGATGCAATAACGTAAGACTACCACGAAAATAAACACGTTCTTCAATTCAGGAGAATTAATGTTGAGATCCCTTAACGGAAATTAAATCTCGTCAGGTAAGGTTACAATATTGGGCGTAAAATTATTTCCATTACGGTAATACATGTACATGTACTTTTCCACTAACGATTTTGGTATACCAAAACTCGAAGACTTCTCTCCCATATTTCTTTTTCAGGAAATATTAGCCAAGAAAAACCTGTAAAAGGGAGTATACCACAAGCACATAACGATGTTAATCACATCGCATTGTGTATACGTACACATAGTTCTTGTAAAAGAACATGTGGTATGCAGTGATGGTTGTTGTGTACTTTTTGTCTACGTGTCTGTGTGTATAAACTTTTATTTATTAAAAATTCAAATCATTTCATGATTTTAGTTGAAATACAACCGTAATTCTGTTTATTTTGGTCATTGTTTTATTACCTTATCGTAAACAAATTAAATCAATTATATTGATCATACTAAATCCATTTTTCGGTTTCTTCGTTGATTTACTAATCAAAAAAATTCAGCGATCATAAAATAAAATCAATCATCAATAATAAAATTATCGACTTCATTCATTTTGCATCACAAATCCTAGCCAAATCCACCAGTGAGAAACAAGATAAGAAAAAGCCGTAATGGGGAATGGACCATCAAAGTTAAAAGAAGCGCAAAGAAAAAGATTTCGTGCACGTAATCAAAGGGAAAGTTTGTCGTCAACCATTTGCTCTACGGCTTCGCGCGAAAATTCGAGCAATCAATGGTATCGATTTTCGTACGGTCGACGGTATCAAAACGTCGAAAATGTAAACTATTTTATGGTAAAATCAAATTGATAATATTATTTCTTTGATCTAAATGATAAATTACACTTAACAAGATTCAATATTGGACACACTGAATTCTGGCACCGTGCCGACTCCCATTCAGTATGAATTAGTGATTCAGACAAATGATTTTAATTATCAGCATCGAGCTTTCATTGAATATATAAAGAAACTTATTGGATATAAAGACTTACACATTTAATGTTCTAAGATTTTTTGCTAAATTTTTTTTACATTTACTATAGCCGAATGATGAAGATGAGATGGCACGACTACAGCTTTTACAGTGGGTTTTTTAGGTTTCACATATTATTTTTGTTTATCCTCCTCTCAATTATTAATTTGCGTAATTACAAATAAATAGCTATCTAGTCAAATCAAGTTGGCAATCTGATTTTTCATCGCCGATAGCAGGACAACTAGAGTCCGGGAATTGCAGGGTTCTCGATTGCGGGTAATTATTCATCAAATAACACATGATTTATTCTTGCAACCTACTCACCGAATAATCGAATCGGAATAAAAGCTGCGGCCCAGGCACATGGTTAATGGAACTCGGATCTGACAATCCAGACTCATATTTCACTGGAATTGACTGTTGCCCAGTTTTTCCCACAGACATAAAACCACGAAACGTCGAATTTCAATGCGCAAACATACTAGACGGCCTCCCGTTCGATGACGACACGTTCGATTTTGTGCATATGCGATTCATGGTCGGCTCATTTACATCTGAGCAATGGAATTTCAGTGTCATTCCGGAATTGGTGCGAGTCTGTAAGCCGGGTGGATTTTTGGAGTGCATGGAGTCGGACATGAAGTGGATGCATAGTGGTCCTGCTACAGAATGTTTGATGAAGACGTGTACGTAATGAGTTATAATTTGGAATTCGTTTTGATTTAATATATTAATCGGGGTTGATATTGAATTTTTTGTTTTCAATGTTCTTTAGCGTTTTCATTTCTTGCTTCACATGGAATTGAAGGAATAATACATCCGCATCTACATGAATATCTTCGACGTACAAATAGACTGGCTAACATTCATTATGCGCATAAAAATATACCGGTCGGGAAGCCCGGTGAATTGGTAACTAAATTTATATAACCACAATAGTTTATTTGATTTTTTTGGTAATACCAGGATTTTTACGTACCAATTTTCTTCGTATAGACATTTCAGGTTGCTCAACAAACATTGGAGGCAAGCAAAGTACATTTGAGCGAATTCCTTCAAATATCACATGACGAATACGACGAGCTGATCCGTATCGCCTGTAGGGAATTTGAAGAGTATAAGACCATGGTTACGATGTTTCGATTTTGGGCTCAAAAGATTTGATTAATCTTTTATACAATATCGGTGCAATGAAAATATCTATCATTGTGATGTATATATTAAATAGAAAATCTAAAAAAAGATCTGTGAACGAAATCACATGTTGCCTCGAAATCAATCTATGATATTCATTATGACTTTGATCATCTTGTTCCTTCTCATGATATCGACGGAAAATCACGTTAATCGACAGAGCTTCGAGTCAAACCCCTTTATGAGAAAAAAGGCTCTCTATAGTATTAAGTCTAAAAAGTACCGTTTAAATAAGAACAACTTTATAAACACATGCTTTCAGCAGAATTTTTGTGCCTCCCCGGATCTTATAAGGAAAGACTTAGGCTGTTTTTTATGTATATAATCTTTTTGTATCAGGATATTCATCCAAAATATTTAATCAAAAATCCCAAATATGGTTAAATTTAATAACGTTAAGTTCCACTTTTATCTCCGGATATATCAGCTGGATTTCGTATATAAAAATACATGAACATCATTATTTCTCACGTGAGCATAAATTTTATTTCATACATATAAATCCGTATGTCATTTTCCATTTTATTATAAAACAGTGCACCTAATATGATCAACATGGTCATTTAAATCTCATTCACCACAATTTTATCTTCCTAAATTTAAAGGACGAAATTAAGCTTGGCAATTTTCTCATCTAACAGCTTCAACCAGTGCCATGTAATCTGTCCGTTTAGCCATATTGATAACGCATTCGGTTCTATTTAATTGATCGCAGAAAGGAGATTAAGAACTTGTTTTCGATGAGGGATGTTGTAACTCGCTCGAAAAACTAGCTCGATATGACAGTAAAGATTGTAGCATACCGTTTTTTCGAATCGGAAACTCAGTTGAATAGATTGCGATCTGATTCGATTCTATTTCGTCTAGGGGATATAGTTTTTCGCCGTCGAATGTCAGTAGTCTAGGACTTTAAATTCATTATTAGATTCCCAATAAAGACAAATCTCAATGGACTATAGGAGGTTTGTTCTAACGAACAGAATGAACCGCGTAAAAAGCGCCAAATACCTCGTAACATCAAAAACTCGATACCTAATCTTATACATTCCACATTTGGGTATGTTAAGCTCCGAAAACACAAAATAGATACCATTCCGATTCTGAAGATCCATCAATTTATACGGAGTTTCTATGCAATAATCGTAAAGTTTCTCTTTATTGAATTTTGTCCGACTTTTCTTTGAAGCGCTCTTTTTTCTTGTGTTTGTATTGTTACAAATGCTGTTTGCTTCTTCATTATTATCGTCTTGTAAATTAATGATATACGCTACAGCAATTAGGTTTGATATTTGTATGTCACTAGTAATGGGTAATAAATATGCAGTAACGAAAATTGGTTTAATTCTAAACCTGTTATGAGCAAGGAGCTTGAAAACAAAAAAAAAACAAAAGCGCATAATTTCTTACTCGGGATTTATTGCCCCTAATGCATTGTAAGCAGTAAGTTTAAGGGTTGGTGCAGGTTCGACGAAAGAATCAATTTGACCTTCAAACGGATGTTGTACCAATTCTAAAATATAATAAATGCTACTAATATACGGCATATTAAGTCAAATTTTATGAATAAGCGAATAAACGTTGTCGAGTTATATAATTGATAATCGATTAAAAAAAACTAATTTCAAAATATAAAATGAAGGAGAATTAAGAAACTTTTTTGTTTCGAAAAATGGGTATTTAACAGTTATGAGCCTTAAATGAACTGCAAAGATTAATAGTAGCGTAAAAAAATCCTGTAATTGTCAGCGCATGAAAGTCTTATGATCATATGATTAGCAACAGATAAAAAAAATTATGTATGCGGACGACAGATTCAGCTTATTTTTCAATATCTTTATTATTGACTATGCTTCTTGTGAAAAAAACGATCCGGTTTTATTTATTTAAAACGTTTTATTTCCGTGCGCGTCTGCAATAGATTGCATGATAAAATAATGCTTGGCTGATTGATTGTTTAGTTGTGTGTTTGCTTTCATAAATGCCATTTTTATTGATATGACACTTATTGCAAGCGATCATTAAAAAAGCTCGAATTTGATTTAAAGCACAGATTTTATTTAAATGCATTGTACTTACCCCCATAAAAAACCAAAACTTCAAAAAAAGCTCGGCAAAAATTACAAATGAAACTTTACCTTTCTCATTTTTAATACTTATTAAAAAAAAAAACTATAAAGAACAAAAAGCGCGAAACCAAAATTTGAAACCGAAACCTTATTTTTGCACGACGAGAAAGCACTTCTGATTGGCGCCTTATCAATGATCTGGAATTTTCAGATAGAAGACATTGCTGGATTGTATGTGTCTGATAAATTTTCATTTTACCTGCAAAAATACAGCTGCATGCATGTACTTGACTGTGCTATTGCTTTCCGAATTTAGAACACAGGACTATTCAAATATTTTATTATAACTTAAAGGTTTATTTTTTTAACTTAGTCTAAAAGTAATACATGCACATGTAATAGGATCAGGCTCGAATACTGAGGCAACTACCTCGATATTAACATCAGTTCTTGCATCACTTATCATCTTTTTGCATATTACGTAGTGTATTAAAAATAAGATAAATTTGTACACGTATATTGCATGAGTTTACATGTACGTATCGGATATACAGTAATAGATACGTTATCGCTATTTTTATCATAAATATTACCGAAAAATCTTTTTTTTTTAGAACATTCCAATTCAAGTATGCTCAAACTTCATTACAATGAAGATATCATAGGATGTGAAAAAATGATCATTAAAGCATACATAACGAGAGTTCACTATAACAAGAGTGAAATCGTATAGTGGAATGAAAGAATAGACCCAGTAATAATTAAATGAGCGCTTTGCTTTCCGAGTTATGTAATTATATTCATGTATTATATAGTATACGACATTTAGTAAACGGAATTGGTATCCAAAATTAGGTATTCCGTGTTATAAATCACGAAGAATTTCAAAAAAATTAAGTTTTTGGATTTTTTAATTTTATTCTAATTCTTCTAATTATTAAATAATACGTAAAGTCACAATGCCGAATATTGTTTAAGATGGTTAATCCAAAAGCAAAAATTTAGGTGATATTTATGACATCACAAAAAGTAAATTAATGAAATTAATAAACAGTCGCATTCCCTTAAATGCATGTTTTTGGGACTGGCGCATTTATAGGTTATATAAGCTCTAATGCAGGGTCAAACAACCAAGAGAATACATTTAAAATGTGAATCAAACTTTTCTATTATTAGGATAGTGATGTATATAACGGTATTTAGAAAAGTTATACATGTATTTTTGAAATTTACGCTAAAGCATCTTTGCTGAAACAATAACTTTTGGGAACTGTGCATTATTCTAAATAACATATATTATGAGGTATTGTTTACACGACTATACTTTTTACCGAAATAAAACAATACAGTACATTTTTTATTTAATCGGTGGGTGTGTATATATGATTGGTCATATCGATATGTTGTATCATTCAGAAGTACGTAAGATTGAAGAATTGTTTGACATGTTTTCCCCATTAAGCAAGAGGTTCAGCCAGTTTCTTTGTTGATAAAGTATTGTAAGCTTGTAAGAAACCTATTGGTGATGAGAAGTTGTTGTTGACTTTTTGTGGGAACTTTTTTCGATTCTGATTTGAAATTTTAATTTTCTGACAATATAAACAAATATCAGCAAAGATGCATTTGATATGTCTGTCTATCGCATACAGAAAAAACCTCTTCAACTTCAGCGGATGAAGAAACCTGGTTAATTACTACATGCATATTATAAAATTTTATTAATGTTAGAACTGATCCCAAACATATTTGATCATATCACCATGAGAGATTTACAAATTAACATGAAAAGTCTATACATGTGCCATTAGTCATTTTGGAGGGATACGAACGTTTCATTAGTTTCAGCCAATTCATTTTGCAGTTAATTTCAAAACAACGTACGTATAATATTCAGAGTATAATTGTTAATGTAATTTACGTTAAAGTTTGACATGCTTTTCTCGTCATGGTCAGAAACATATGTTGTAAATTCAACGCAACTTATATAGACCGCGACTCCAAATTATTGCCCAGACATGAAAATCATTCAGGGAGCAAGCACGATAAAATCCTGTATACTTGACTACAGTTTTACCGGAGGCGACACAATGCTTAGTCATGATTAACAAATTCTCTGACTAAGCATATTAGTCTCCTGCCATTGATGTTGTCCTTTGATAAATTCTCACATAAAGGTGCGACTGTCTCAAGCTATCATGGATAATTCTTGAATTTGTATTCAAATTACAATTTCGCGCAATAGCTCTATTCTTTTAATTTTAATGTAGAAAAAATAAGATTATATTTATCAACTCTCCTATCATTTATATTCTTTTGCTCTAATAATTTGTGCAATCCTTGTTGCTGATATCCTAAGATAAAACTGTTCGCTATGATATGATACTTCAGATATTGTGGGTTTTTTACCTGCTTAACTTTTTATACCAAGCTGCCGTTAGCGAAAAATGCAAAGCGAAAACAGACCTATTAGACAGCAGAAGTAGCCTTTTTTCAACACAGGTTTATTTCCAGACACCAGTTAGTCATAAACTTGTTCAAGCTCATTTCGCACGAGTTTTATAAAACTAAGAAAGTTCATACTATAATTTTCTGTTAAACGTAACAATTACTACGTACTCATATACTTGGACTAATACCATTTTCATTGTATTTATTGTTCAATAAAAAATAATATCATAATTAAGTTGTCCTTGCAACGAAAAATCTCGTGATTACGGAATATTCTGGAATGGTACGAAATTTCTTATTCCTGTACTCCTATAAAAAAATCAATTAGTGTCTCGCATAGATCCCAGAAATTCCTACAAAAATTACTACTTTGCGCGCCCAAAATATTAATTTTCGTTATCGATTCCTATCAAAATTCTTATTTTGTACGTTTTCCCTTATTGTGTGATCCATAATTATAAATAATTTTGTAACTTAATAATATTTTTTTCTTTATTCATTCCTTTAACATATAAATTTTACATTAAATTCCATTACATAATTTTATAATATACTTATTCTTTTCTTTTGGTGAAAATTCCTACTAAAATTCTTTTTTAATAACCCACAAAATCTGTAATTAACGAATTATAATTTGGATAATTGTGTAATAACAAAAACTGTATATATAGGATAACTCTTGAAGGTCAAAGAGATATAGTTTGAAGAAAAATAGCTGAGAAAATTATTTAACTTTTATCTAACTATGCTTCAGCTTTTATTTTTTGTGCTCTAACAAATCGATTCTTTTGCCGTGAAAACTTGTTGCATTTTGCTTGATTACTAATTATTCAGTTATTTGTTTGGAATTTGCCTTTATTATATTGATATTGTGTTATAACTTTTGTAGTTATTTGTCATTTGGATTTTTATTTTGCAAATAAATCTTTATTACTTATATTAATGAATTAAATATCTTATTTTAAACTTTATCTTTGCCTTGACTGCACAGCTTCTATGTAAAGATTGATACAGGAAATCTTTTTAATTCCACTTTATACAAATAATTCAATCTAGCTAACTCTTATTATATCTATAATTTATTAGTTACCTAATAAAAAAATAAATAATTATTTAGAAAAAAATTAATAAATTTCCTTGCAAGTTTATTATTCTTATTATTTTCTCTTACTTCCTAAAATTACTATATAATTTTTTTATTTCAATTTGAACTGAATTAGTAAATATAGTTTTTATTAATATTATTATCTATGAGAATTATTTATATTAAAATTAGTAAAATATATATAATTTGAATCAGATAAGATAGTTCAAATATTAAATATCCTATTATTTAAAAAAACAAGTTAAATTACTAAATTAATTATATAAAAAGTTATTAATAAATTAAAAAAATAATTTTTGATAATAATATAATTTCAAATATTAATTTATTTTTAAATTCTAAATTTAATAAAGATATAAAAAATAACAAAAAAAATTAAAGATACTTTAGCAAATTAAAAATATCAATACTTATATTAAAAAGTTTTAATTAACTATTATAAAATAAATTCAAATAATAATTATTTATTATTAATATAATATAAATTTAAATTAAATAAATTTAGATAATTATTAATAAAATACTTTAAAATATAATTAAGTTAATAAAAAATAATAATAAAATAAAAGAAGATATTATTATGATTAAAATATTAATTTTATTATTAAATATTTTTTATATTATAAAAAATAATAATAATAATTAAAATTAAAATTAATTAAATTATAATAAAATAATTTAAAATTTTTTGAATTAGTTCAAATTAAATTTTAGAATAATCTAATTCAAACTGAAATTTTGTTTTAAATTAAAATAAATTTAATTTAATTCAAAATAATTGAAATAATTATATTCAAGTCAGATTAAATTTTGAAAATTATAATAATTTATATTTAAAATTAATAAAAAATAGAATAAGATTTAAATATTTATTAATTTTCTTTAATTTTTTAACTAAATTAATTATTAACTAAATAAAATAACT